GAGCCGTCTTCGGACCCTCTTGGGACCGTCTTGAGGGGCCTCTTGGGCCGTCAGGGGGCCATCTTGGAGGCCTCTTGGGCGATCTCGGGGCGACCTTGGGGGCCTCTTGGGCCGTCTTGTGCCGTCGGAAAGCCGAAAAGGCGCAAATGCCATTACCCCAGTGCGACCCTACCTAGAAGTTGGAGCCCCTAGGAAAGCAGCATTAGTTGCTATGCCATGCTATACTATGGTATGCCATGATATGCTGCGCTATGCTATGCTATGCTATGCTATGTGTTGCTTTGCTATGCTATGCTATGCTATGCTATGCTATGCTATGCTGCGTTATGCTATGCTATGCTATGCTATGCTATGCTAAACTACGCTATGCCATGCTGCGCTGTGTTATTCTAAGCTATGCCATGCTATGCTATGATAAGCTGCGCTATGCTATGCTATGCAATGCCACGACATGCCATGCTATGCTATGCTATGCTATGCTGCGCTATGCTATGCTATACAGTGCTATGCTTGGCTATGGTATGCGATGCTATGCTATGCTAATGCAGCGCTGCGCTATGCTATGCTAAGCTAAGCTACGCTAAGCTAAGCGAACCCTCTAGGCAGAGCCTAGGTCGGGAATTACACCCATGCTACGCTGAACTAAGCTAAGATAAACCTGAGCTAAGATGAAGCCAAGCTAAGCTAAGGTGAAATAAGCAAAGTAAGATGAGATAAGCAACGCTAAGCTAAGGGAACGTAACTGGGGAAACCGCGGGGCGGATACTCGGGGAACCGCCTGGGGCACTTTCCACTGCCCGGCCCCTTCAAGCCCAGAGAGTAAGAACCCTTCTAGGCAGAGCCTAGGTAGGGAAACATCGTTCAAAAACCAAAGGAAGATTAATGATTTTGGCCTCGTCGGGTCTTCCTGGAGGACCTCTTGGAGGCCTCTTGGGCCGTCTTGGAGGCCTCTTGCGGGCCTTTTGGGCCGTCTTAGACCATATTAAGGACATTTTGGGCCGTCTTTGAGGCATCTTGGGGCCCACATCCCAAAATCCTTAAAACACCTACGGGAATTCAATGATTTTGGCCTCTGCGGGCCTTCCTGGAGGACCTCTTCGACGCGTCGTGGGCGTTCTTGGAGGCCTTTTGGGCCGTCTGGGGCCATCTTGAGGCTATCTTAGGCAGTCTTGGATGAATCTTGACTCGTCTGGGAGGCATCTTGGAGCCATCTTCGCCGTCTTGGAGGCCATCTTGGCCGTCTTGAATGCACTTTGGAGACCATCTTGGGCCGTCTTGGAGCCATCTGGAGCAGGGAAAACCTTTGCAACCAGGTTTTGAGATCCTTTCCAAGTGGCCGGCGGGACGGGCCGAAACCCCAGGGGGAGTTCTTTTGGAAAAAGAACCATATAATTTGGCACGCCAGGCACCCCTGCGATGAATCGACAGGGGGCGGCGGATCGAAGACGCCTACGGCGAATCACCGCCGCCCCCTGCCTTTTTGGAAGCGCCTATGTGGCCGAACGTTGAGGCCAGACCTGCCAAGCTATCGGACCACGTGTTCCCCGAATCGGTTTGGAAAGCCTTCGGGGAACACGTGGGCATCTTGAAGGTCATCTTGGCCGTCTTGGAGGCCTCTTGGGCAAGCTTTGGGCGATCTTTGGGGCTTTTTGGGCCGTCTCGGGCCAGCTTCGAGCCAACTTCGGCCATCTTGGTGGGTTCCTGGCACGTCTGAAGCCGTCGGAAGCCGTTTGGGGGGCCTCTATGGGCCGACTTGGGGCCCGCTTGGAATGCTCCAGGGCCGTCTTGGAGGCCATCTTGGGCGTCTGGGAGGCCATCTTGGGCGTGTTGGAGGCCTCTTGGGCCCTCTTGGGGCCCTCTAGGGGCCATCTTGGAGGCCACTTGGGCCATCATGGGGCTCTCTTGGGGGCCTCTTGGGCGATCTTGGGGGCTTCTTGGGCCGTCTCGAGCCGTCGGAGAGCCGAAAAGGCGCAAATGCCAGAATCCTTCAAAAACCAAGGAAAAATCAATGATTTTGGCCTCTTCGGACTCTCCTGGAGGACCTCTTGGAGGCCTCTTGGGCCGTCTGGGAGGCCTCTGGGGGGCCTCTTGGGCCGTCTTGGGCCGTCTTGGACTCTCTTGGGCCGTTTTGGAGGCCGTCTTGGACCATCTCGGGCGGACTTGGAGGCCATCTTGGGCCATCTTCGCGATTTTTACCTAACAGCGAAGACTGATAGGTTTCTAGTTGACTCAAAAGAGCTCACAGATCACTCCACAGGGGGGTCCGGGCAGGTGTTGGGGAGTTGCCGGGCGGCAGGGTGTCGGGACGTTTGAATACCCGGATGCAACAGTCACACACTTCGTGCTCTTCGAGATCCCAGAACGCCATTCCCGGGCCACATTTAGAATAACCGGATGCAACAGTCACACACTTCGTGCTCTTCGAGTTCCCAGAACGCCATTCCCGGGCCACATTTAGAATAACCGGATGCAACAGTCACACACTTCGTGCTCTTCGAGTTCCCAGAACTCCATTCCCGGGCCACATTTTGATGCCCGGAGCCAACTGTAGGCCACTTCGTGCTCTTCGAGTTCCCAGAACTCCATTCCCGGGCCACATTTTGAATGCCCGGAGCCAACTGTAGGCCACTTCGTGCTCTTCGAGTTCCCAGAACTCCATTCCCGGGCCACATTTTGAATGCCCGTAGCCAACTGTAGGCAACTTCGTGCTCTTCGACTTCCCAGAACTCCCATTCCTGGGCCACATTTTCAGCAGGGGCAAGAGCACGACGAGGAGGAGGACGAGCAAGACCAGGAGGACGAGGACGAGCAGGAGCAGGACGAGGAGCAGGAGGAGCAGGAGAAGAAGGACGAGCAGGAGGAGGAGGAGGACGAGCAGGAGGAGGAGGACGACCAGGAGGAGGAGGACGACCAGGAAGAGGAGGAGGAGGAGGAGGGGAGGGGGAGGAGTACCAGGAGGAGGAGGAGGAGGAGGAGGAGGAGGAGGAGGAGGAGGAGGAGGAGGAGGAGGAGGAGGAGGACGAGGACGAGGAGGAGGAGGAGGAGGGGGGGGGAGAGTACCAGGAGGAGGAGAACGAGGACCACCAGGAGGAGGAGGAGGAGGAGGAGGAGGAGGAGGAGGAGGAGGAGGAGGACACCAGGAGGAGGAGGACGAGCAAGACGAGGAGGACGAGAACGAGGACGACCAGGAAGAGGAGGAGGAGGAGGAGGAGGAGGAGGAGGGGGGACTACCAGGAGGAGGAGGAGGAGGAGGAGGAGGAGGAAGAGGAGGAGGAGGACGAGGAGGAGGAGGAGGAGGACGAGGAGGAGGAGGGGGGGGGAGAGCACCAGGAGGAGGAGAACGAGGACCACCAGGAGGAGGAGGAGGAGGAGGAGGAGGAGGAGGAGGAGGAGGAGGAGAGCACCAGGAGGAGGAGGACGAGCAAGACGAGGAGGACGAGAACGAGGACGAGCAGGAGGAAGAGGAGGAGGAGGAGGAGGAGGAGGAGGAGGAGCAGGAGAAAGAGGAGGAGGAGGAGGAGGCAGGCTGAGGCTGAGGCTGTGACTGCGACTGCCGTTGCCGCTGCGACTGTCATCGCGAATGCGACTACGACTGCGAGAACAGCAGAATTCGACAACTGGATTTTCATCTGAATCTTAAGGGGAATGCTTTCAGATATGCTTCTACACATCGCTGTTAGGTTGCTTTGCCGGGATAATTTGAGGATGTCCCGAGCGAAACGGCCGTTTTTTGGAGGATTTTTTCCGGTCGTTGAGCACCTTCCGGGTGGCCGGCGGGTTCTGCCGGAGCCCACTGGGGAGTTCTTTTGGAAAAAGAACCAAAGCCAAAACCTGACAGCTCGTCCAGCACGCCGTGCACCCCTGCAAGCAGGGGGCGGCGGATCTAGTGGCATTCGGCCCATCCCGCCACCGTCCCTGGGTTGTGGGCTAGAAGCTTGTGGGCTAGAGGCCTCTTGGATGTTCGTTTGGATATCGTGGGAGGCCTCACGGGGGCCTCTTGGAGGCAGTTTTTGAGGCCTCTCGGGGGCCGTTTGGGGGCCTCTTGACATGGGCCTCGTGGGGCTTCTAGGGGGCCTCTTGGGCTCTCTTGGGGCCTCCTGTGGCCTCCTGGGGGCCTCTTGGGGCGGAAGGCTCGGATTGTCGGCTCGTGTTCCCCCCCCTGTTGGGCCCTTTTTGGGGCCGTCTTGTGGCCCGCTTTGGCGATCTTGGGCGCCTTTTGGGCTGCTTTGGGGTCCTTCTGGACCGTCTTAGGGGCCCTCTTGGGGGTCTCTTGGGCCTTCTTGTGGTAGTCTTGGGGGCTTCTGGGGCCATCTTTGAGCGTCGGAAGCCCGAAAACGCGAGAACGCGCACAACTCGTTGGGGGCCTCTTGGGCCGTCTTGGGGCCATCTTGGGTAACTTGGAGTGCTCTTGGGCTGCCTCCTGGGCGTTTCTTGGGGGCCTCCTGGCCTGTCTTGGGGTCTTGTGGCATTTGGCAAATCCATCCGACCGGGCCCAAGAGCGCGCGAGAGCGAGCGGGAACGCTGCGGAAATTTGAGAAGTTGGCCCCCCAGCCCTTCGAATACTACAATCCCCAGTCCTGAATACAGAGAATAAGGAACCTTCGAGGACCTGAGGACGCTCTATCTCGTGCCTCGAGGCACGGTGGTGGATGCATACATATTCATACACACATGTATATACATATGTATATAGATATATATATATGTGTAAACAAGTTTAATATTCTGGTTGGTGTGGTGCATACGCGTGCTGGGGAAATCTCGGCCAGGAGGACAGGCTGGCCGCATATGATACGGCATTCTCAAGTGGACTGCGTAACCAGTGGGTCTTCAGCTCAATCGTGCGGTGGCATACCAGCGACGGAACATGCAGATCGGCAGTAGTTTTATGCATGCAGGGCGCCAGCGCATGAACGATTCCAGTCCGGGTCGGGAGCCATTTGTTCGCCTTCAGGGAATGGCGTTTGCCCAACACATTGGTCTGGTTCGCTATACCCGAGGTGCTGGCGCTAGACGTCACGAAGTTGCACGTGGTCATGGCGCAGTACGTGGACACGCTGCCACACTGCAGGACAGCTTGCATCTGCTAGCAGTTGGGGAGGGATAGTCATAGTAGTCGTACGCGTAAGATAGTTTTACGATGCTGATGGTAATGCGAATTGTAGTTATAATGCGAATGATGCCGATCATGCGAACAATAAGCAATACTACTAATGATACTATTCATACTGGTGGTACTAATACAGGAACACGAACGCCACGTTGCCGTTAATAGCCCATCAGCGTGTTACTCCTTCGTTTTTGTCCGACGGCCTAGTGCTTCTTCAGCAGTGCGATGGATTGTCCGCCGCGGCGTATCATTGATATTGTTTTTGCTCCCCAAGCCGATGGAATCCTCGATGTTAAAGCTTACGGAATGAGGGAATTCAGATGCGGTGGCAACAGGGGTCCGAGGCTTTTAGGGTCCTTCATGAGGTTTATCCTCGGCCGCTCCTCGTACATCTAGGCGCGACTGGGGCCAACGAGGGGGTTCGCTCCATGGCGAAGACGCCTCCGGCAAGTCACTGCAGCCCGCTCTCCCTGAAAACGGGACGCTTTGGGGGGCCTTTGCGAAACTGCGTTTTGGCGCCTCTCGGGGCCTTGTGGGCCTGGAGCCTCGTTGGCCTCTCTTAGGACCCTCGTGTGGAGAGTCTTGGTGGTGTCTTGGTGCCCTCTCTATCTTTGTTTTGGAGCTCTCTTGGGCTGTCGTGGGAGCCTCCTTGGCCCTCTCTTGGGGCCCTCCGGGGCCCTCTTGGGACTCTCTTGGGCCGTCCTGGACCCTCCCAGAGGTCCTTCCCGTCGTGGGCCCTCTTGGGGCCGTCCTGGGCCGTCTTACGGTAATATTGTGGCGCTCTTGGGGCCTTTTGGGGTGTTCTTGAGGCTCTGCTAGGCCCTCGTCGAACCATCTTGCGCCGAAGAGCTTGAGAACCAGACAGTGCAGGACAGCCTCAGCATCAGACACGTTTTCCTGTCATTTGGGCCGCTTGGGGGTCCTAGAGGGTCCCTCTTCGGATGTCTGGACCGCCCTGTAGGCCCCGCGGAGCTCGGGGCCCTCTTGGGCCATCTTTGCAACCTCTGGAGTCCTCTGGGGCCTTTCTGGGGCGTCTTGGACCGCGCTGTCTGACTCTCTGGCAATCCTGGCCGCGTTTCTTTTCAGTGTGAGCGGCTTTTGCGATGAAGGGTCGTGCGTGGCGGTGAGGGATTGTAGGCCGGCAGGATGGGCCAGCAGTCCTGTGGAGAGGCGTTGAGAGCCAAGTTCGAGATCGACCTACCGTCAGCACCCCTGTGATTAGAGACTCGAGGTTCTGGCCCTCGCCGGCTCATCTCGCCACCGCGGGTGGGTTTGTGTGCAGGGCGCAGTGGTAACATGGGTGGGAGTAGTGTTAAGTGGGGTCTGTCCCTGTCCCTCTACAGGAGGAATATTCCAAAGTAGTCAAACATAGTAAAGAGAAGTTGTTTGTAGTCTTTTTTGGTTGTTTCTGAAGGTGTTTTTGGACATTTTGCGTTTTTCGTTTAAAATCCTCCTGTAGGGGGACATGCCCGACCTAAGAGTAGTGCAGGTTCCTGGGATGTGAGCCTCTTGGGGTCCACTTGTAGGCCTCTTGGCGGCATCTTGGGGCCTCGGGTGCCTTGTTGGGGCGGGACATGTTGGATACCTCTGGAGGTCCTCTTAGGGGATGGCGGTTGGGGGTCTAAGGGCAGTGGACGGATTCCCAGCCATGTTTATGATGGTCCGTTCGAGGTTTTCTTGTGGGGCCCCCCTCGGGGCCATCCGAACTGTGGGCTCGTTGGGCCCCTGTCGAGGGAGATCTTAGGGGCTATTGAGCCGTCGTGTACTCTCTTCAGACCGATGCATGCAGTGAGAATGCTATAATCAAGCGCAGACTTGTTTTGGAACGAGTTTGGGCTCTTGAGCCAAACTCCCTGGGTCCATATGCCCCTAAGACAGCCGGAAGGGACCTCCAACAGTGCCGCCAATATGGGCCCCTGGGTCCATCTTGCCGATTGTTGGGAGCCTAGACTCACAATCACGGTTCTCAGGCTTTCAGAACAGCTGTGCGGTAAGTCTTTGGAGCGCGCAGGGCCGCCAGAAGCGCACATTGACGTGAAGACAGTTGGGGTTCGAGGCTTTTCTATGAGGCCTCATCGAGTACTGAAGACTACCCAGGACCTGCCAAAACTTCATTCATTTCTTGTGGAACGTCTCCCAAACACCACGCAGGGTATGGGTTATCCAATGCTGAAGACTACCCAGGACTTCGGACGCTACGCAGGACCAGCGGTTTTAGTGTTTCATGCGGCAGGGCTTGTATATACAACTGCGGAATGCCTCCGCGGGAATGCCCACACGGCAGACATACTTCACGGGTGCCATCCCAAATCTTCCTTCGGTTGAGCTTCCCTGGCGCCCTTCACGCGTCGGACCTGCGCCCTGACGCCATCCGCCTGGGGACGGCTCGGCCACCCTGTGCAGGATGCTGGTCGGGCACACGTTGCGGCCACCTCGCCGTCAGTGCGCAGTATCTGCGTTGACGCCCTCCGCTTCTTCCTTGGTGGCGGGCACGGCCCGCGAGACCTTCCGTGGGCGCGGGGATGTTGCGTGGGCGCTGAAGCTCCTGCGGGCAGTCTACACAAGTCGCTCAGCCGCGCGCCGCATGTTTACAACAATTGCGCCGCGCCGAACACCATCCGCCACGCGCCCCGGGAGTGCCCCAACGCCCTCCCCGAGAGATCCCAGCGTGATGTTCCGCAGCCTCCGCCCTTCATGGCGAACTTGCCAGATTCTGCGCACGACGCCTTCCTCTTGGAATATCTGGTCCCCCGATGCCCCGAGTGGGGGACGGCCGCCGTTACCTGCGTTCGCGTGGACCCCAGGCCTTCTCGCACCACAACTGCACTCCCCTCGTGGCGAAGGCCAGGTAAGGATGGGGGCCTGTCAACAAGGGCGAGGAGCTGTTCATCTTCTATGGCGCTGGCTGCAGTCGCGCGAGGGCAGATTCGAAGCCGAGTTTGCATGACAAGCGAAGGTTATCAGGATACTCCATTACGGTTGCGAATTCCTGCGCCGCGTGGTTTCCCACCCTGGGATGGTTCCCCCTTATCGCTGCTCCTGACCTCGGCGGTGCCCCAGGCATGGGTGGTCTTGACCCACCCGCAGTGCTCTGAATCCCGGCTGGGACACAGGCCCAAGCTGCGGCAATGCTGTCAGGACAAATTCGTCTCCGTGCTGAGCCTTTGGACGATCCTGGCCGCGTCTCAGTCACTCCTTGATCCGTACCAGTAAGGGAACGTTTTTGTGCCACCATCGCGCGCGTTATGCCCCCCCCCCGCCCCCCGCCCATAACGTGACGCCCCCCCCCCCCCCCACACCACACCCCCCACAGAGCGCCCCCCAGCATTGCCTTCCCTTCCCCCCCCCCGAGCAGTGCGCCCCAGGGCACTGCAGCAATGCGTGCTTGTGTGAACCAGCGCCCGTCGGCAAGGGGCGGTCGCAGCGCTTGCGTGCACCACTGCTTCACAACAGCGATCGTACTGTCGCGTTTGCAGGCGCATAGGTGATCACAGGCAAGGCTCGGCGCTCGCGGGCTACCGTGGTGCCCACAAAACTGAATGGCCGGAGCTCGGGTGCTCGCAGACACGCTGGGCGCTCACATGCGTAAAGATTGGTGCTCGCAGTTGTGGTGCAACGGGGAGAGGCAGCAAGAGTTGGAGTAGGACGGTGGGCTCAACAACCTAGTCGGTTTCGCTTCCATTGTCGACTCGTGCTCCGAGGCGCCAAATGCAGAGGAGAGAGGAGGAGGGGGATAAGAAGGGGGAGGAGGAGGAGGGGCAGAACGACGAGGAGAAAGACAAGGAGTGGGATGAGAAGGAGAAAGCGGAGGAAGATGTCGTCTGTCTTCGTCGTCGTGGTCGTCGTCCTCGTTATCATCGCCGTCGTCCAGTCGTCATCATCGTCGTCGTCCTCATCGTCGTCGTCGTCGTCGTCGTCCTCTGTCGTCGTCGTCGTCGTTGTCGTCGTCTGCGTCATCGTCGTCCTCGTCGCCGTCCAGACGTCGTCATCATCGCCGTCATCGTCGTCGTCGTCGTCTGTCGTCGTCGTCGTCGTTTGTCATTTTCGGCCTCGTCGCCCAGTCATCGTCGTTGTTTCGCCAAGTCGTCGTCGTCGTCGTCGTAGGCGTCGTCGTCGTCGTCGTCGTCGTCGTCTTCGTCGTCGTCGTCGTCGTCATCGTGGTCGTTTCCCAGTCGTAGGCGTCGTCGTTGTCGTCGTCCGTCCGTCCGTCGTTGCCTTCAATCGTCGACGTCGTGGTCGTGGTCGTAGTGGTCGTCCTTGTCGTCTGTCGCCGTCGTCGTGGTCGTGGTCGTCGTCGTCGTCTTCTTTGTGGTCATGGTCGTCTGCGTCGTCGTTGTCGTCGTCGTCGTCGTCATCGTCGTGGTCGTCCAGTTGTCGCCCAGTCGTCGCCTAGTGACCGTCGTCGCCCACTCGTCTTCGTCCGTGTTTGCGTCGTCGCCGTGTCGTCATCGTCGTCCAGTCGTGCAGTCGTCATCTCCCGTCGTCGTCGTCGTGGTCGTCGTCGTCGTCGTCATCATCGTCGTGGTCGTCGGCTGCTTCGTCGACGTCGTGGCCCAGTCATCGTCGCCGTCGTCGTCGTTGTCGCCCCGTCGTCGTTATCGTCGTCGTCGGCGTCGGCGACGTCGCCGTCTTCATGGCCGTTTCCCAGTCGTAGGCGTTGTCGTTGCCGCCCGTCCGTCCGTCAGTCAGTCGTTGCCTTCCGTCGTCGCCGTCGTCGTCGTCGTCGTCGTGGTCGTGGTCGTGGTCGCCGTCGTTGTCGTTGTCGTCGTCCTCCGTCGTCGTCCTTTGTCGTCGTCGTCGTCGTCTCCTTCGTCACACGGCCCAGGTGTCCCCGAGGCTACCCAGTGGTGCTGGGACCCACTGCAGGGGTTGGCCAGGAGGTGCTCGCCAGCGTTCCAGTGGCAAGGGGGCCCACTGCACGGGGGGGAGCGTCGCGATATGCCCCCCCCCCCCCCCCCCCCTTTCCCCTCCCCCACAACGCGCGTTATCGCCATGAACAAAGAGCGCTCTCTAGATTTGACCTGTCGGATGAGATTCAGCTCAGCAGGGCGAGCTCGTTTCACAGAGCTTCTGTCGGAGCTCCATTCGCGACTTCTCGCTTATGCCGCCAGGAGATACGCGCAGCTGTTCGCAGAAAACGCGCGGTGCCGCCTACCTCCGCTCTCCGACGTCTGCAGCGGCTTCGACGATTGCCAGGACACGGCGCAGAGGGCCTTCGAGGAGGGCTCGCGTTTCGGGCCGATGTGTGTTTTGGCCAGAGGGTTGGAAGAGAAAGAGGTACCAATACCAGTATCCTATTTTCGTCGCCATTTCTGGATTCGCCTCGGAATCCTGGTCAGAACGCACCCCCGGAGAGGTCTGGGGAGTAGCGGTCTCGGCACCCTTTTGTCCCCCAAGAGGGTGGGGAAGTATTGGCAGAGCGGGGTGCGGGGAGAGAAGAGATACATAATGGGGCAAGCCAGGTGCGCTCGCGCAATGCCCGACATTCTACTACCCGTCCCACCCATCCCTTCCCGTTGTGCTGTGTTTGTCTTTATCCGCGGACGCGTGTCACAGCCGCCCTGGAACTCCACAAAAGACCTCTATCGTGTTATACGCAACATCGGAAAAGTGGAGCGGAGCAGGAGGAAAAGGAGGAGGATGAAGAAGGACGAGGAGGACAAGGACAAACAGCAGCAGGGGGAACTGGAGTGGGAGAAGTGGGAGGATCAGGGGAAGTCGGAGGAGGGGAAAGGGGAGCGACAGTGATGAGAAAGGACTCGGTTCCAGAAGAGTGGCCCGCGCTGGGGCTAGAGCGCCATTCTGAACGACGGGAGTAAAGTGCCGATCCGAAAGTGAGGCCCAGGCTGCAGCGGGAGCACCGGTTTGAAACACCGCCAACAATCGGACTGTAAAGCACATTGGCGCAGATCACCCCTGCCCACTCCCACGTGCATTTGTGCTCGGTCAAAGAAGCAGTGTGCAGAGAGGGCGGGCCATCGTCCGGACAGAGCTGGGGGATGGAAGAGGGGGGGGAGGAGGCCTGGGGGGAGCGGGGGGATTGCAGAAGCGGGACTGCAGCTGTACAGTCGGCCCAGATTAGTAGGTCGACCCTGGAAAATCAAGGGTATCCTTGTGTCCTGTGTCTCGCGACCCATGCCTCCTGCATTCCTATGGCTATGTTGCCCTCGGAAGGGTCTTGCGTCCTCTCGCGTGTCCTGCCCAATCAAGTCCGACTGTAGGGGGGGGGGATTGCAGAGAGGGGGCAGAAAGGGGCGGGGGACTGCCGTGCTCGTGCTGTGTAGCTGCGCGGCGGGGGCCTGCAGAAAGGGGGGGGGGGATGGAGGCCCGGCGGCGCACCGTGGGGGGGGGGGAGCGAGAGGCGTGGCGGGCCTTCTCGGCAGGCTCGAGCCGGGCCTGTCGCTCTACAGGAGGAGCATTCAAAAGCAGTAAGAAAATAGCCTGGGGACGATTTTTGGGTATCTTCAAGTTTTCGCCCCGAAATCCTCCTGTAGGGGGACAGGCCCGACCTAAAGGAAGGCTCGGAATCCCCCCTGGCCTTCTTCAGGCGATCGCAAAAATGGATTAAGGGGGCGTGGATTAGCGACGGGTCCCGTTTCCATGGGAAATCGCTGATTTCCGCCGACGAGCGAGGCGGCACCGGTCGCATTTTGGGTAGGGCACCTCCCCCGATCAATGGATTTGGCGATCGCGCGCCAAATCCATGGATCCATGGATCGCTAATCCATGTTTGCGCCCCCCCGACTTCTGACAAGTTTTCGAAGCTTTCCCCGGAGATGCCAAAAGCCTCTCAGAATGCACCGTGGGAAGCCGACCCCAGCATCCACAACAGTGGATTTTAGACGTCAGCGTTCTGCAATTGCGGCGCAGGTGCGGAAGTGTAGGCGCCCTGTAAGCGGGGCCACTGCCAGCTGCCGCAGGGCGGGGAGGCCCCGCGCGCGCGGCCTAGAGAGGCTAAAGCTCATCATGTGGGGGCGGGGGGCGGTTTCATGCGTTCACAAAAGGTGCGAGGGCTCTTGAGAGATCGCGCCGCCTTCTGAGAGGGCCTTCTCCTTCTCACTTCCCCCCCTCGCTCGCCGCCGAATAGTGTGTAACTTGTAACTGTGCAGTGGGGGATGGGAGAAGGGGGAAAGAAGGCGGAGGGGAAGAGGAGCGCAGCTTCGAAACAGCCGGCGGTGGTCTGCCCCTTTGTCCGTCGTTTCTTCCCTGGCCAGTTCCTGGATGCATGCTTTCCCCCGAGCTCCACTTTCTACCATTACCTCTCGGCAGCACCCCGCCCAGCGGGACGTCTCAGCACGGCTGCGTGCGTCCGGCATCGCCATTGCTTGTTTGCGGCGAGCGAAGGTGGGAAGCAAGAAGGAGAAAGCCTTCTCAGTAGACGGCGGGACTTCTCAGAAACCCTCGCGCCTTCTGAGAAGTTTTCAGCGTCTCTGGGGAAAGCTTCGAAAACTTCTCAGAAGGCCGGGGGGCTTCTGAGTCTTTTGAGCAGGCTTTCTCCTTCTCACTTCACCCCCCGGGCTGGCCGCCGAGCTTGAGTTATCATGTTTCGTTTGGCTTGGTGCAGTTTGAGCCCAGGAACCATCTCACGAGGATGACCAAACTGCTTGCTTCCCGTCGTCATGCGGCACACGGCCGCACACACAAACTTTACACGTGAGGCGTTCCAATGGTGAGCCTCACCTCCCCTCTGGGCTGTGCGTGCCGGTGATGTCCGGGGCGGCTCGCGCTTGGCCCAGACCAGGCAGGCTGGTGGCTTCGCTTACCAGCATTACCAACAACAAGAAGGGCTGAGTGCATCTGCTAGACTGGCACCCACATCTGGGCAGTCCAGCACACGACCTTCGTATGTTCGACTCTTGAGTCCGCCTGACGAGCACCACAGGGTAATTGAAAAGGTCATTCACATTGCCAGGTCCCGCAGATAATCTATTGGCATTCTAGGGCGCATGATCCTGACCCAGAGTTTTTGACCATGCACTTTGCGTTGCTGTGCTTCCGATCCTGCAACCAAAAATACATGAAGTGAAGCTATAACGTCAACTACCGCCGACAAGCTCGACTGTGACAAGGGCAAGTCTTCGCGTGCCTGTTCAACCGACAGCCTCTCCATCCCTTGCGCAATCATTTTGCCATCCAGGACGCGTGCGATGGGTTGCTGATGTTGATAGGAGGGGCTATGGCTCTGACGTGAGCAGCACTGGATCCACAAACTGCACAGATCGCACGCGTGGCGCTTGGACAGACTGTCAAGAGGGCTACATCCACTAATGCCCGAGCTCTCAGCCTCGGCATCCGCTGCCAACTCGGGCATTTGCCTAGCCGCACTGAGAGCGTCACGTGGCGTCGACAACAGTTGGCCATGTTTCGGGGTTCGGTTTGTATGACGCCCAACTGGGTGCAGCGTGCTCCATCGTTGCCGCAAGCCAGTGGCACAGGTGGCCGACAGCAGCGCCATATAGACTCGTTGCCAGTCCACCATCCACTCCGCTCGGCGCACGCATCCCAACAGGCAGCAGGCTACTACCCTACAGCCACCAGCCCGTCACAGAGCATGCCGGGGGACTTAGCTACAGTTAGTCACGTCCCTTCGCCACCTCCTGTAGTGCAGCCCTTGGCCACAGAGAGCGCCCACGGTCTTGTGCACCCTCTTGCCTGACTGGCAATCGGCACTCCGCATCCGCTTCCTGTCCTCTGCCTCTCCCGGGCCACGGGGCCTCGGAGGCTTCGGGGAATGGTTCCTTCCGGTGAGGGGAGCTTGGCGTATCGGCCGCCTGCGCCATCGTGAGCTTGCCCTTCACGGTCACCCGACGTTCTCCCTCCGCGCTCCCCGCCTGCCACCAGGGAAGCGCTCCAGTCGCAATGGACCTCGCATGAGGATAACGAGGAGGAGGAGGATGCGGAAGATGAGAGAGACGAAGAGCAGCAGCAGCAGCACCAGAAAGGGGACAAGGCAGTCGAGGATGTGGACGATGAGGTCGATGATGACACGTATGGATCTGTGAATGATGCTGATGTGATGATGATGAGGATGAGGAGAAGGAGGACAAGGAGGAGGAGGAGGAGAAGGAAGAGGAGGAGCATGAGGAGAAGGAGGAGGAGGACGTGTTTGAGCCAAGGCGAGCACAAGGGAGCGGCAGTTGCACGGGCATGAGCAGCATCACGGTTCATGACAATGGGCAAGGAGGACGGGAACAGGGGATGCCCACCATCAACATTGTGGCACTTTTGCAGCGTCAGAACGTCGCCCCGGCGTTTGAACAGTGGAGCAGAGACGGCGTGACCACATCCCGGTGCAAGCGTTTGTCGGAGTGTGAGACGGATGCAGAGAGAAGAACGGGTCAGCGCTCTCCAGACCGAGTACGAGGCCGGGCGCCACAACATGTTGCTGGGTGTTGCAAGCTTCAAATTTGATGCGTTCGCGGCCCGTCGCGAAGATGACCCCGCCTTCGTCAGCAGTGTTGTCAGCGTGAGCGTCTCGGTCGTATTGTCAGCCGCTGGAAGGGCTGCGTAGGCGAGCGGGAGCTCAAGCAGAGGTCACCGGCCTGGCAGACGAGTTCTGCAAAGGTTCGCCAGAGCCTAAGGCAGGGAACCGGGTCGCATCTGCAGCGGTGCGCGAGGCGATGCTTGCAGAGCGCAGGGCGACCCCTTTCGGCGGCGAAATCCGAACCCTACACTCGCCGATCAACGATTCGGGCAACTCGATGGGCGGCGGGGGTCGGGTTCGGAATTCGTCGAACATGTTGCGAAATCCGAAGCCTACCCCCGCCTACCATCGATTCAGAAGAATCTACGGTTGGCGGGGGTAGGGTTCGGATTTCGCCGCCTACACCTGACAACGCCGTCGGCCTCAGGCCGTGACGATCCCTTGCGGATCTCATTGAGGCAGTGCTTTTTCGGGCCGCCTTGCAGGAAGCTCGTGCCCCGCCGCCCCAGAGCTTCGGGTTGGGGGTGTGGCTTCCTGGAGATGCGCAGATCCTGTCAGCCCCTCAAGCTCGGAATCCGATTCAGACTTGCGCCCATGCTGATACAATGGTTCAGGTTCAACCTCGTACTGACATTGGCCTGTACGCGTACTCAGAATCAGACCAGATCTTGGCTCATTCACTCGAGCTGAGACTGAGACCCAGGAACGGGTTAAGCTCAGACTTGGACTCAGCCTCTGAGTCAGCTTCAACACCAGACGAAGACTACGAGGCCTCCGTAGCTTCGGGGACGCTGCGTGTCCGCTTTTGTCGCGATGGTTTGACCGGATTCCCGAAGAGGCGCCCACAGTCGTCTTTAGGCGGTATGGAGGGGTTTGAGGGCTGTCCTGGGGTAGCCGTCGGCAGGTCACTGGTTATTTTGGGGGGCGTCCCGCGCAGGGTTCTGGCGGCCCAGGGCTGTCTGGGGGGGTATCTTGTGACTTTTTCTTTTTGGGGGGGGGGGGGGGCGGTCTGGCTTGTTGGCGTTCTCTAATGCCTTGTTGATGCCTTTGAGGGCGACAGGGTTGACCAGCGCAATGCCTGTGATAATTGACAAATTGACGATGCTCTAGGCTTCCCAGTGCCCTCTTGGAGAGACATTTGGAAGGCTCTCGGGGCTCCTTTGCCCTCATGGCGCATTAGTCGGAACTGCTTGGGCCCTTTTCGGATGCAACTCCTGGGAGGTCAAATTCTGATTTAGTCCTGGTCCGAAATCCCGATGAATCCAGCTTAATCCCGCTTAATCCGGCGTAATCCCCTTTAATCCCGATTAATCCGGCTCAATCCCGCTTAATCCCGCTTAATCCCGCTTGATCCGAGGCCCACTCTGGCGTAACTGCCCCCCAATGGGGTTCAATCCACCTTAATCTTTCCGACGAAAACCTCCCAGTAGTTGCCTCCCACATTTCTGCATTCGAACGTGTGCCTGAGCTTCCTAGAGCGCGCACAGTCCCAGACGTGAGGCTAAACCGACGCAGCTCAGTATTGAAGTATCTGGATCGGGCCGGCCTGTCGAAGAAATCATCCTCACGAGCGCTATTCCCCAAAGAGTGCCTGCCATCCGGGGATGTTGGTTGATTTCGAAGAACTGGATCCATGTGTCGCGCTTTCTTGTCCGCAGCCGTTTTTTCTCGAGGACACTGGCTCAAGTAGAACCCTGATTCTCAGAGTCTCGCATAAGTTCAGGTTCGGCCGACCCCGAGTGCCAAGCATGCAGGAGGCATCCCAGGAAGAAACCTTCGTCCGCGGCATCGACGCAAAGCGCAAGCCCGCGTTGAGCGCAGACTCTATCTGCGGCGCCCTCTTCTACCTGTCGGCGATTGCACAGGTGATCCTGTGCTTTGTGACCTTTGCTGCGAAGAACGCCGAGATCGCTGAGTTCGATTCGGCCGGCTACGTCAGGTGCCCTGATGGGATGGTCTGGGCATCAAATTGCGGTTCGGCTCCGCTGTATTCGACCTATACCGAGTGCATCAGCAGGGACCTCTGTGATCAGGTCGCCGTCTGCGTCGGGGAGCGCAGGCTCGGGGAGGCAGCGGGCACGGACGAGGCGCACACCAACAGGGTGGAGCTTTTGGAGGCCGTGGCCGCGACGGAGGGCCCCTACGCCGAGCACGCGCGCCGCCTTTTGGCGGGGGGCGAGGAGGTCCCGAAGAGCCTCTGGGACTTCTTGGAGACGCACTTCTATGTCCCCACGCTCCTCTTGGGGGGCGTCTTCCTCGCCGCGAGCCTCTGGCTCCTTGCGCTGCAGCAGTTCCCCAGGAGCATGATATGGGGAACAATCGGCGCCGACATCGTCTTGCTCCTGGCTGGCTTCGTCTGGTTCAAGCTCGAAGCGGACATGTGGAACCCGGCGTTGGTTATCGTTGCCGGCCTCACCGCGATGGCCGCATTTTTTCTCAGGGCCAGGATCGACCAATGTTCAGTGGTTATGAAGGCCGCCATGGACGGGCTGGTCTCCAACAGGAGAGTCTTCTTGGTATGCGCAAGCGTCACATGCCTCTGGGCGGCCTTCTTCGCCATGTGGGTTGCGGCTTTCATCGGCATGGTCTTTGTCAAAGAGGTCGTCCAGCTTCCGCCCGACGAGTATACATCATCCTACCTCCCCGGATGCGAGCTGCAGGAGGTTCCTTGGCTTGCAAGCGGTTGGACGAAGCTCTTCTTCTTCGTGAACCTCTACTGGACCACCTACTTCTTTCGCAACGTGAACCTCATCGTCGTCAGCAGCACCGTGTCCGGCTGGTACTTCAACAGCGAGGGCTACCAGAGCTTCTGGATCCAGGCTCTGCGTTGGGGCTTCGTGGACCTTGCAGGAGGCAACGCCATTGCCTCCGCCACCATGGGGTGTGCGTCCTACCTCCTCAGCAGGATCACTCCTCCTCCTCCGCCTCCCCCTCCGCCTCCTCCTTCTCCCCTCTTACTCCTCCTCCTCCTCCTCCTCCTCCTTCTCCTCCTCCTCCTCCTCCTCCTCCTCCTCCTCCTCCTCCTCCTCCTCCTCCTCCTCCCCCTGTGTGCGTCCTACCTCCTCAGCAGGATCAAAGGCCCCTGGAGCCTGGCTCTCGCCTGCCTGAACCCCGTCGACTGGATCCTCGTGTGCATCGCCTTTGCTCTCCAGCATGTCCTTCACGCCTTCACGAGGTTTGGGCTCATCTCGCAGGCATACTCTGGGAGACCTTTCTGTGATTCCGCGTTTGCTGGCATGAAGCTTCTGAAGAGGCAACTGGGGACGGCCGTGCTCACCGACTACATCGGCACGCGCGTTATGTCATGGGCTACGTACGTTGTCGCCCTCTGCGTAGCCTGTGCCACCTGGGCCTGGGCGGACCACGTGCAAGGTGTGGAGAGCATCACGCATATTTCACCAGAAGCGATGGTATTCGTCATGCTCGCCTTCGCTGGGATTATCGCCATGCCCTTCTACTGCCTGGTCGCGGTGATCTGGCTCGAGGTGGTCCTTCGACCTTGGGGCAGCAGTAGCGATCCTGATTCTTTCGAGACCCGGGCCGTCCTCAACGCTATCTTTGCCGCGCTCTTCCTCGGCGCTGTCGTGCACTTCACCATGGACACAGTGTCCCAGATCGTCGTGAACGCCATGGACACCATCTTCTTCTGCTTCGCTGTGGAGACGCAGCACGGCGACGCAAAGCAGGAGAGATTTGCTGGCCTCTACGACAACATGAAGGCAACCATCGCTCCTGGAGCCCTGCCGCAGGATGCCGTGGTTGGCGTCCCTCCATGCTCGCAGTCGATACAGGTAATGGTCCCGGAGGGTGCTGGTGAGGGCTTCGTGTTAAGGGTGCCTGCGCCCCAAGGCCACTCGATTGAAGTGACTGTCCCGGCTGGCTTCGCGGCGGGCTCCGTCATGACACTGACCGTGCCCAACGATGCGTCGCAGCCACCCACCGTGCATCCGCCCCTGTTGGTGCCCTGCGCACAGACCACGCGGGTGGTTGGCAGTCCACAGGCGGGTAATGCGGTCACCAACAGCGCCGATGAAGCGGAGGTGTGAGCGGCCTGGCTTCTGCAAGAGGCGATCCTGACGCGACAGGTCCGCAACGTGTTGCGAGGGGCGCGCAGTTTGTTTCAACGATTGGTGCAATTGGTACTGCACATCTGCTTGTACAGCTTCACAAAACTTGAACCGTGCTATGTGGGAAGCTGCAGTGCATGCCTGCTGGGCCAGGAACGCCTGCTTCCTAACACCTTCTACAGTATCTAGACTGAGAATCCGCTTTGTCGGGAATCACCTCTGGCGTGGACCGTTTCCCTAAGCGGGGTCCGCGCCGCATCCTGAACCTCGCTGGCAGAATCCAACATATGATTCTGTCGCCCGAGAAACGTTCCAGACTGGGAATCCGCAAAGTCGGACATCTCATCCAAACGCTTGTCGTCGACATTGCAGCCGAAGGTCGTCAGACTGCGGTCATCGCTGCTGGTTGGTGCCCTGAGGTGGCGACGTGATGGAAGGTCGTTGCCCCCGTCGTTCTGCAACCACGTATGTCATGCTTTCTGGCGGCCTCGTGGACTCCTAGGGGCTCCTATGCTGGATTCTTAGGGCCTGCCGTTCCGCCAGATCCTCGTGCCGCACTTCGATGGTCGATTTCACTTCTTCGGGTTTGCTGCGGCTCCCTCCAACACTGAACCCGTGTATCGCATTTGTCTGGTGGCTTGTTGGATTCCCATCAGATCCTATGCTTTTCTGTGGCTTCCCCCTTCACTGGGCCTGTGTGTTGCACTTTCTGGTGGCCTGTTGAATTCCGATGGGCTCCTTTGGATTCCTGTGGCTTCCCCTCCCGGCAGACCCATCTGTCGCACCTCCTGGTGGCTTTTATGATTCCTTCGGGTTCCTATTGATTCCTATGGCGTCTCCGCCTTGGGTGGAAAGCATTCCCGTACATCAGGAATGATTCCTTTTCCTCCCGATGCCGGGGTACCGCCCCCTCCGCGTGTGGCGTTATTCCTATTGATAGCGCACGGTCCTTCATCCGAGACATCACGCACATAACCCCCCTTCTATTGCAACAGTTAGCCTGGCGAACTACTCAATCCTATTGAGCTGCGAAGAACGCAGTACATGGCCTTCTCCTCATAGGTGACGCGCCGTGAGAATTATGGAGCCGTGGGCAGTGCGTACGGAGACCACGAAGCGTGTGAGGGGTGCGCCGAAGCGAAGCGGAGGCTCCATACGGTCGCGCCAGCTGAGACCGTGGGTGGAGCTGTCTCGGGGCCACGAAACATGCGAAGGGTATGCCAAAGTGGGCGGGGAGACGTCATGCGAACACGCCCGCTGAGGGGCCACGAAACGTGTGAGGTGTGTACCGACATGGGCGGGCCGACGTCATGCAGACGCACCCACTGGGGCTTTCGGTGGAATTCCCCATGTGGCTACGACGCGTGTGGGGGGAGTGCCGGAAGGAGCGGGGCGATGCCATGAGGACGCAGCCGCTAGAGCCCTCGGTGGAGCTCCCCATGAGGCCCCGCAGCTTGTGGTGCGTGTGTGTGTGTGCGTGTGTGTGTGTGTGCCGGAATTGGGGGGGCGACGCCATGCGGGCGCACCCGCGGGGGTCCTCGGTGGAGCTCCCCATGGGGCCACGGAGCGTGTGAGGGGGGTGCCGACATGGGCTTGACGACGCCATGCGGAAGCATCCATTGGGGCCCTCGGTGGAGCGGCCACGAAACGCGTGGAAGAGGTGCCACATAGGGAGCGGCCATGCAACGCGTGAAGGATGTGTCAAGATGGGCGGGGCGAGGCCGTTCGGCCGCACCCACGGGGGCCTTCGGTGGAGCTTCTTTTATGGAGCCGCGAAGGGTGTGAGCGGTGCGGCGGGCAAAGCCATGCGGACGTACCCACTGGGGCCTTCAAGGGAGCTTTTTGGAAGGCAGGTCAGGGCAGTAAGCATGAAGGGTGTGCCGAAAGGAGCGCAGCATAAGTGGCAAAAGCGGTAGGGGTGGTAGGAGGCAGGAGGCGGATGAGGAAGGATAAAGAGGAGGGGGAAGAGAAGCAGAGAATATTCCGGGCACTGTGAATTTAACACGATGGCCCAACATGTAGAAGGATGGGGACCAATGCGGTGGACATGCGCTGGTCTAGGATGTGTGTGTGTGTGTGTGCGTGTGTGAATGTGTGTGCATGCGTGAGTGTGTGCGCGTGTGCTTGTAACACTTCCTGTGGCACAGCGCGGGCCATGTGCGCGCGCGCCCCCGCCCTCGCATGGCGAGCCAGTCCAAGCCATTGGTTGTCTGACCGTGTCAAGACGTAGCTGCGCAGCCTGTATCAGAGCATGCTTGGTCTGTGCCAGCCAGCAAATGACAGATTGCTGCGCGCGCACTCGCTTAAACCACACGGAAACAACTGCGGTTGTACCCCCTGTCAGAGGAGACCCTGCGGGCTATACGCGAGCACATGCCAACACCATTCAACGACCATCGCGCACCCGCCAAATCTTTCAAAACACAAAATATGCGGGGGATACGCACGCCTCTCTGCGCGAGCACGTTATCATCCTTCTGAAGCACTCGCTTACGAACACCGAGTTGTTTTGAATCGAACATGTCAGACATTCCGAATTTCTGCGCCCGCATCCTTATCATCCTCGTCAGCACCATTACTACCATCGCCCGTGCCATCATTACCATCGTCATCGTCATCATTCTCGCTGTCGTCGTCATAAGCATCACCGTCTTCATCATCGGCCTCGTCGATGTCGTCGCCCTCGTATTCATCGCCATCACCATCATAATCATCGTCGTCATCGCCAATGTCGTCGTTACAATCATCACTCGCCTTCCCGAGTCATGGACCTGCATGAACAGGGTCCGCGCCTCGCTGCGCAATTTGGAATTCGTGAGAAAGTTCCGACGTGTAGCTGCACTCATGGCTTGTGTGAGGTTTGCCAACAAGTTGCGGGTAGGATGTTGGCGCGAGCAGCAGAATTGACGACCTCAAGTTACCCAGACGTGCCAACACCGCACAGACCCTCCTTTCAAACCAAGGGGCTGGCCCTACCGCCATCCCGAGCCTGGACCTTTTCGGTCCCCCTGGGGCATTGCAATCGACATGCGATTGTGTCTCATCGTTGATTTCCAATATGCAACCATATCATCCCAGTCAAGCCAGCATTGGCACCCTCTTCACCCTTGTCAAACAATACCATGCGTGCACACTTGTTCATCCCAGAAGGTATCTTTTACATCATCACTTAACGGAGGCGCGCATGCCGAAACCATACCAAACACATCAGATGTGCAAACACTTCAGCCAAATAATTTTGAAAAGCCAAAACGCACACTGACATTCCATCGCCATCCTTACAGATTGTCTGACCGCGCGCATTTGCCGAACTCGCAGGAACGCCGTGCGCACTTATCGCCCCAAGACTTCACCCCTCTCGCCCCACGTCCGAATCCTCACCTCACCACGCGGTGCACCCGCGCTGATCTGGCACCCGCCCAGCACACGAGCACGTGCCATCACACTGTGCGGGCCACGCGCGCGCCGCCACGCGCGCGTGCCAAGTTCCTTCCAGCACACTGCTGTCCGAGGTGTTCCACCACAGAGCTTCTCAAGCCTGTGTGAAGACAGCTGATCTGGCGCTCAGCAGCAAGCATGCCAGATACCCTGCATTTCTGAGCGCGCACCTCCCCGTCACCCTCACCCTCACCATCACCAGTGCCACCGGATCACCGCCGGCTTCGTCATCGCCGGCCGCCGCCATGGCCGCCATCAGCACAGTCCACCTCCAGCACCGACGCTTGCACAGCATCGCCGTCATCGCTCGTCATCGGCACCGGCGGCCGTCAGTGGCCTTGCCGTCGTCATCGCCACCGTCGCCACCGCCATCGGCCATCATCATCAACATCGTTGCCGCCGCTGTCGACGTCACCTCGCTGCCGCACCCGCCTGGGCCACCGACCCGCACTGGGCGTGCCCGCGTGCCCGACCGGCCAGCCACCCTGCGCTCGAGGGTGTGCGCGCGCCCCGGCGCAGCCGCACAGGGGCGCCAGCAGGTGCCAAGCAGCAGCCGCAGTCGCGGCCGAGTGGGCTCTGCCGAGCAAGCTGCGGGCGGGAGGGGCGGGACGTCTGCGCGAGCAGTTTCAGGAGGAGAAAAATCACACAGACACAACTAATCGTCGATTCCCCAGAACATGTGGGAAAACATGGGTGGTGGGGGGGGGGAAACAGAAACCTAGAAAATATAGGAAAATATGGGGAATCCTTTTATTTGTGTGTATTTATTTGTGTGTCCCAGGGCCCCTTCAGAGTTGACGATTTCAGGTTCCGCATGCATCGTTGCACCCCGCAGGTTGCACCGCACGGGATTCCCAAAGAGGCACTGCTCGGGTTCCGCCCGCTGACTCTTTACACACACACACACACTGGGCGGATACGCAGTTCCGCACTTTCCGCCGCTGACCACGCCGTGCAGTCAGTGCTGACTTGCAGTACGGGGCTGCCGTCGAACAGGTGTCTGTTTGTCTGCCCATAGCTATCCTCACATGCACATTCCCAGCAAGTGATCTGGGATTCTTCTTGTCTTAGAGACCCGATTCTATCACCCTCTTGCTTATATTCCTCATCCTTGTCGTTTGCGGCTCCGTCCTTGTCCTCTTCCAACCTTCCCTCTGCCGCCACGTGACACGCGCTTCTCGCCTGTCCGTCGGTATTCAGGACAACTTTGGTGCCGTGTCGACTGGTGTTTGGTCCGGTTGGGTGCCAGACAGGTTAGGTTAAGGGGCGGTCTGTACGTGTGGCGTTCCTCGTGCCCAGAGGGCTCAAGCAGTTTGGTTTCGTCGCTACCTCACTACAGGCGCCATGGGCTGGTGCCACTCCCGTGTGCCTGATGTGAGCCTCTGTTGCGCGCCCGCTCGCTTCGGGAATCCTTCGCGCTGCCAGCGCTGTAGCCAGGAAGGTCGCTCCGAGCGCGCCCGCTCGCGACTGGCGCAGATCGCGTTATTGGCGCTGTCGGCACGAAGTTCACTCCGAGCGCGCCTGCTCGCTTCCAGCGTTCTTTGCCTTGCTGGCGTTGTAGCCACCGTTGTCGACAGGAAGCTCAATTCGAACGGGCCTGCGCGCTTCCAGGGCTCTTCGCGTTGCCAGCGATGCTGCCAGGAACCTCACTGCGAGCGCTTCTGCTTGCGACAGGCGCACTTCGCGTCGCTAGCGCTACCGGCGCGAAACTCATTCTGAGCTGATCCGCATGCCTCCTGTGAGACCACCCCGAGCGCGCCCGCTCGCGGCCAGCGCGCATGCCGGTGCCAGTGATGTTGCCTCGATGCTCGTTCTAAGCGCACCCCTTCGTTCCCAGCGCACATCGCGATGCCAGCCTTGTTGCATGGATGCCCGCTTGAAGCGCGTCCTTGTTGTGGCCGGCGCCCATCGCGTCGCCAGCGTTGTCGGCACGAAGCTCCTCATTCCGAGCGCGCCCACTCTCTTCTGGCGTATTTCTCGTTGCAGGCATAGTTGCCAGGAGCCTATTGTCGATCGCGTCGCGCCCGTTCGCTCCCAGCGCACATCGCGATGCTAGCTCCGTCGGTCGGGAACCAATTCCGAACGCAAGCGTTCTCTCATGGCGCTTTTCACGTTGCCAGCGTTGTTGCACGAATGCTCTCTCTGAGTGTACCCGCTTGCTTCTGGCGGGCATCGTGCTGCTAGCGTTTTGTCGCCTCGATGCCCAGTCCAAGCGCACCCGCTCGCTCCAGGAGCACTTGGCGGTACCAGCATTGTTGCCAGAATTTTGGCTTCAAGCGCACCCGCAGGAAAATCGGTACCTCGAATCGACTGCTCTGAAGATGTCTTAGGCTTGTGGCTCGACTTCCAAGCCCATCGCAGGTGCAGCAACGGAAACTGGCACTGGTAGCAGATTGATTTGGCACGGTGGTGGTAATGGTGCAGCCTTGGAGGCAGGGGAGGCGACAGAGAGGTAAGCGGTGGAGAGGTCTCGCGGGAGATGGACGAGGGAGCAGAGAGGAGTCATGGGGGGGTGGAAGAGAGGGAGGAGAAAGGGAGGCATTTGAGGAGGAGAATGCAGGACCCATTTCGATTCGATCAATCTGATTCAATTTCGAGTCAGGCTGGCGAATCCGTGCGGCCCGATGTTTGCATGGACGTTCTTGTGCATCTTGGCGCGGCCAGTCCGATCCGATTTCGAATCCGTGCCGATGCAGCCCGATACGATGCTCGTTCCGATCCGATACGATTCCACGTTTCGATGCTGGCTGGTCCTGAAATGGCTTATGAGATGCGCGAGCATCTACCTTGCATCTCTCACCCCTTCCCCCTTCCCTCCCCTGTTTCCCTCCCCCCCTTCTCTTACTCCTTTTCCTGCTCGTTCTCCCCGGGTATCTCCCACCATCTTTCCATCGCTGCTCACTACGATCCGCGCGTGACGGGCACGATCAATGACGACTTTGTCGCTGGGGTCCCAGGCCGTTGCGCAGCTCGCAAGATGCGCGTCGCGGCGAAGCCTGTTCCGCTTTGGAGTTCTCGGCGAGGTCTTGAGCCCGGCGCAGTATTCTCGCCACCTGGGAGCCGGCAAGGCTTACCGAGCGGGGAGAGATGCGCACTCCTGCCCTGTGCCGCCCACCCCTGCCGTCAAGGCCGAAAGCGGCGACGAGGACGACGGCTGGGCCAACGCGTTCAGCGTGGGGTCCCTGCCGAACCCAGGCGTCCGACGACCGTCCTGGGCCAGCGTGGGCTCACGCCAGGGGCACCGAAGCGGAAGAGGAGGGGGATGAGGGGATGACCGGGATGACCAGAGGAAGCCTAAGATGCATCAACAATGATGCCATGCACCTTCCCTTCCCGAGTCCTCGCCTCACAAATCCCTACACGCCGTCCTGTTCATCACGAGAGACCACCCGTGAAAGGCCAGCACCCTGTGGCTCCCCTGCCATTCAGGCGAGAGCCTCGTTTTGAGGAGTCGCCTTGCTTCCTTCTGGGATCAGTAAGGCATGGAAAAAGGATGACCATACAGTTTAGCGATGTGTCCAGCGATATCAAAGTGTTGCAACATGAAGCGCCCCCATCTGCGTCACTGCAGCGCACGATTACACGCCTGGTCGAGGAAGTCTCAAGCGAGAGACCCATTTCGAAAAATAATCACCCTCCACCCTCGTAACCTAGAATTCCACAGCTTCTGGATTATAAGTTGTGGGGACGTCTCAGGCGAAACGCCCAGTCCGCCCTACGGACACTTCTACTTGTCAGACAAGGAGGATATATTGAGAAAGAGAGCGGACTAAGGGATAAGGAGGTGCGAGGAACGAGGAGGAGGATTAGGAAGAAGAGCAGGATGACCATTGATAATGAAAACATAATATCGAAGACGTCTACGGCGAATCACCGCCGCACCCTGCCTTTGTGGAAGCGCCTATGTGGCCGAACGTTGAGGCCAGACCTGCCAAGCTATCGGACCATGTGTTCCCCAAGTCGGTTTGGAAAGCCTTCGGGGAACACGTGGGCATCTTGAAGGTCATCCCGGCCGCCTGGAGGCCATCTTGACACTTTCGGGCTTTCTAGGAGGACGTCTTGGAGGGCTATTGGGCCGTCTTGGAGGCCATCTTCAGCGTCTTGGAGGCCTCTTGGGCCGTCATGGGGGCCTCTTGGGGCCGTCGAGGGCCTCTTGGGCGATCTTTGGGGGCCGTCTCGGGCCGTCGGAAGGCCGAAACAAAAAAAACAAATGTCACAATCCTTCAAAAACTCATGGGACATCAATGATTTGGGCCTTTTCGGGCCTTCCAGGAGGCCCTCTTGGAGGCCTCTTGGGCCTTCTTGGGCCATCTCAGTGCCATCTTCGGCCGTCTTGGTGGGCTCCTGGCCCGTCCGACGCCGTCAGAAGCCGTTTCGGTGGCCTCTCTGATCCGACTTGGGGCCCTCTTGGAATGCTCCAGGACCGTCTTGGAGGTCGTCTTGGGTGTCTTAAAAGCCTCCTGGGCCCTCTTGGGCGATCCTTGAGCGATCTTTGGGGGCTCTTGGGCCGTATCGGGCCGTCGGAAGGCCGAAACGAAGCAAATGTGACATCCTTCGAAAACCTAAGGACAAGAAGTGCTTTTGGCCTTTTCTGGCCTTCCTGGAGGCCTTCTTGGAGGCCTGTTGGGCCGTCTTGGGCCAGCTTCGAGCCAACTTCGGCCATTTTGGTGGGCTCCCGGCCCGTCTGACGCCGTTGGAAGCCGTTTGGGGGGTCTTTCTGGGCCGACTTGGGGCCCTCTTGGGGTGCTCCAGGGCCGTCTTGGAGGACACCTTGGGCGTCTTGGAGGCCTCTTTGGTCGTCTTTGTGCCTTCTTTGGGCCGTCTTGGGGGCCTCTTGGGCCGTTCTGGGCCCTGGAGGAGGCCTCTTGGGCGCTGTGGGGGCGATCTCGGGGGCCTCTTGGGCCGTCTTGAGCCGTCGGAATGCCGAGAAGAAGCAAATGCCAAAATCCTTCAAAAACCTGAGGGCAAACAATGATTTTGGCCTCTTCGGGCCCTTCTGGAGGACCTCTTGGAGACCTCCTGGGCCGTTTTGGAGGCGTCTTAGAGCCCTCTTCGACCGTTTTGGGCCATCTTGAGGATATCTTCGGCTGTCTTGATTGCATCTGGAGCCGTCTTGGAGGCATCTTGGGGCCATTTTGGCCGTCTTGGAGGCATCTTGGAGGCCATCTTGAGCTGTCTTGGAGAATTTTGTGTGGACGTTGTGGTCGTTTGCGCGCCTGGAGCTCCCTCCCGGGACCCCGGCGGGACGGGCCGAAGCGCCAGGGTGAGTTCTTTTGGAAAAAGAACCAAAACCAAACCGTAAGAAGTCCAGCACGCCAGACACCCCTGCGATGAATCGACAGGGGGCGGCGGATCGAAGACGCCTACGGCGAATCACCGCCGCCCCCTGCCTTTGTGGAAGCGCCTATGTGGCCGAACGTTGAGGCCAGACCTGCCAAGCTATCGGACCATGTGTTCCCCGAATCGGTTTGGAAAGCCTTCGGGGGAACACGTGGGCAACTTGAAGGTCATCTTGGCCGTCGGGAGGTCATTTTGACCCTTTCGGGTCTTCTTGGAGGACGTCTTGGAGGGCTCTTGGGCCGTTTTGGAGGCCATCTTGAGCGTCTTGGAGGCCTCTTGGGCCGTCTTGGGGGCCTCTTGGGGCCGTCTTGGGCCTGTTGGGCGATCTTTGGGGGCACTTGGGCCGTCTCGGACCGTCGGAAGGCCGAAAAACAGCAAATCCCACAATCCTTTAGGTCGATGAGTTTTGCCTTTTCGGGACTTCCTGGAGGCCCTCTTGGAGACCTCTTGGGCCGTCTTGGGCCATCTTAGGGCCATCATCGGCCGTCTTGGTGGGCTCTTGGCCCGTCCGACGTCGTCGGAAGCCGTTTGGGGGGCCTCTCTGGGCCGACTTGGGGCCCTCTTGGAATGCTCCAGGGCCGTCTTGGAGGCACATCTTGGGTGTCTTAAAGGCCTCCTGGGCCGTCTTGGGGGCCTCTTGGGGCAGTCTTGGGGGCTCTTGGGCCGTTCTGGGCCCATCTTGGAAGCCTCTTGGGCGATCTTTGGGCGATCTTTGGGTGCTCTTGGGCCGTATCGGGCCGTATGTCAAAATCCTTCAACAACCTTTGGAAAATCAATGCTTTTGGCATTTTCCTGGCCTTCCTGGAGGCCCTCTTGGAGGCCTCTTTGGCCGTCTTGTGCCAGCTTCGAGCCAACTTCGACCATCTTGGTGGGTTCCTGGCCCGTCTGACGCCGTCGGGAGCCGTCTTGGGGGCCTCTCTGAACCGACTTGGGGTCCTCTTAGGGCGCTTCGGGGCCGTCTTGGAGGCCATCTTGGGCGTCTTGGAGGTCTCTTGGGCCGTCTTGGGGCCCTCTCGGGGCGGTCTTGGAGGCCTCTTGGGCCGTCATTGGGCCCTCTTGGAGGCCTCTTGGGCGCTGTGGGGGCGATCTCGGGGGCCTCTTGGGCCGTCTTGAGCCGTCGGAATGCCGAGAAGAGGCAAATGCCAAAATCCTTCAACAGACTAAGGAAAATCAATGATTTCGGCCTCTTCGGGCCCTCCTGAAGGACCTCTTCGAGACCTCTTGGGCCGTCTTGGGCCGTCTTGGAGGCTTCTTGGGTGACCTTGGAGGTATCTTGGACCCTCTTGGGCCGTCTTGGAGGCCATCTTGGACCATCTTGGGCGGACTTGGAGGCCATCTTGGACCATCTTGGGCGAGCTTGAGGGCCATCTTGGTCGTCTTGGAGGCCATCTTGAGCAGTCTTGGAGAATTTTGTGTGGACGTTGTGGTCGTTTGCGCGCCTGGAGCTCCCTCCCGGGACCCCGGCGGGACGGGCCGAAGCGCCAGGGGGAGTTCTTTTAGAAACCAACCAAACCAAACCGTAAGAAGTCCAGCACGCCAGACACCCCTGCGATGAATCGACAGGGGGCGGCGGATCGAAGACGCCTACGGCGAATCACTGCCGACAGCTGGGCTAGAGCTTGGCCAAGCTATCGGACCATGTGTTCCCCGAGTCGGTTTGGAAAGGTTTCGGGGGACGCGGAGGGGAGGAAGGGGAGGAGGAGGAGAAGGATGAAAAAGGAGAAGGGTTCGCCTCTTCGGAGCCTCTTGAGGCACTCTTGGGCTCGATTGGACCATCTTGGGACCGTCTTGGAGACCATGTTGGGGCTATCTTGGGCTCTCTTGGGGCCTCTTGAGGGCCTCTTGGGACCCTTTTGGGGCTTCTCGGGGGCTTATTTGGCCGTCTTATGGCGTTCCTGGCCCGTCGGACGCCGTCGGGGGCCGTCTTGGGGGCCTCTCTGAAACGACTTGGGGTCCTCTTCGGGCGCTTCGGGTCCGTCTTGGAGACCGTCTTGGGCGTCTTGGAGGCCTCTTGGGCCGTCTTGGGGCCCTCTTGGGGCGGTCTTGGGGGCGTCATGGGCCGTCATTGGGCCATCTTGGAGGCCTCTTGGGCAATCTTGGGGCGATCTTGGGGGTCTCTTGGGCCGTCTTGGGCCGTCGGAATGCCGAAAATGCGCAAATGCCAACATCCTTCAAAAACCTAGGGCAAATCAATGATTTTGGCCTCGTCGGGCCTTCCTGGAGGACCTCTTGGAGGCCTCTTGGAGGCCTCTTGGGGGCCTCTTCGGCCGTCTTGGGCCCTCCTGAGGCCATCTAAGGCCGTCTTGGGTGCATATTGGGCCGTCTTGGAGGCATCTTGGGGCCATCTTAGCCGTCTTGGAGGCCATCTTGGCCGTGTTCGAGTCATCTTGGAGGCCATCTTGGGCCATCTTGGCCGTCTTCGAGGCCATCGAGGGCGTCTTGGCGGCCCCTTGGGCCGTCTTGGGGCCCTCTTGGGGCCGTCTTGGGGCCCTCTTGGGCCGTCATGGGTCCATCTTGGAAGCCTCTTGGATGATCCTCGGGCGACCTTGGGGGCCTCTTGGGCCGTCTGGGGCCGTCGGAAAGCTGACAAGGCGCAAATGCCAAACTCATAAATAGAATACCGAAAGCAAGTCAATGATTTCGACCTCTGCGGGTCTCCCTGGAGGACCTCTTCGAGGTGTCTTAGGCCATCTTAGAGGCCCCTTGGGGGGCCTTTTGGGCCCATCTAAGTCCGTCTTGCGTGCATCTTGGGCCGTCTTGGAGGCATCTTGGGGTCATCTTAGCCGTCTTGGAGGCCATCTTGGCCGTCTTGGAGGCACCTTGGAGGCCATCTTGGCCGTCTTCGAGGCCATCGAGGGCGTCTTGGAGGCCTCTTGGGCCCTCTT